CGCGCACTCAGCCTCGGCCTCCGTCGCGACCGCGAGCCGCCACGCCGGGTCGGAGGAGAGTTCGCCGCCGCGCATCGCGGCTTCGTGCGCGATTTCCACGTGCGCTCGCGCCGCCTCAGACGCGGCTTCTGCCCTCGAAACGCACCCGTCGCGTCGAGTTTTCGCCGCCGCCGCGGAAGACGCGGAGATGGCTGCGAACGACCAGCACGCGCTCGATTACGTCGCGATCGCGCGCGATACCGCGCGCGCGGCCGAGGCTGAAGCGGCGGCGGCGAAAACTCGACGCGACGGGTGCGTTTCGAGGGCAGAAGCCGCGTCCGAGGCGGCGCGAGCGCACGTGGAAATCGCGCACGAAGCCGCGATGCGCGGCGGCGAACTCTCCTCCGACCCGGCGTGGCGGCTCGCGGTCGCGACGGAGGCCGAGGCTGAGTGCGCGCGCGCGGAGTTTGATCTCATCGAAGCGAACGCCGCCGCCGCGGTCGCGTCCGATGAACTCCATCGAAGAGAGAGCTCGGTCAACGCCGCGAACGCGAGCGCGTTCGCCGCCGCGGAGGAGGAGACGACGCGCGGGAACAGCCTCCGCGACGCGGCAATCGCGGCGAAACGCGAATTCGAAGACGCGGAGAAAGCCGCGACGCGCGCGGAGAACGACGCGGTGCTCATGTCCGGCGGCGACGTCGCCGCGCTGCGCGCGGAGCGCGCGGAGTCGACCGCGCGCCACGTCGCGGAGTCGCGGCAGGCGTTGCTGGACGCGAAGCGGCACGCGGAGCGACGACGCACGCGCGCGGAGGAGGCGACGCGCGCGGCGCGAAAAACGCGCGCGGAACACGCGGACGTCTCGAAAGCGGCCAACACCGCGCGCGATCGCCTCGCCGCAGCCGCGGACGCCGCGAGGAAACTCGTCCGCGCGTCTGTTACCGCCGCGAGCCGCGCGGACGCGGCGTCGCTCGCCGCGGCGCGCGCGCGCGACGCGACGCGCGCGGGCGCGCGGTGGAAAAAGGCGGCGGAGGTTTTGAAACGACGCGCGTCGAAAGCGCGCGAGCTCGCCGCCGTCGCGAGAGACCGCGCGACGTACGCCGCGTCCGACGCGCGGCTCGCCGCGGGCGCGGGTGGCAACCGCGACGAGGCCCGCAGAGCGTCGTGCGCCGCCGCGGACGCCGCGGAAGACGCGACGAAGGCCGCCGCGAGGGCGCGCGCGATCGAGGACGCGACGCGCGACGCGCGGCTCGTCGCCGCCGCCGCCGACGCGCTCGCGTCGACGACGCGCGAGGACGCGGCGACGCATCTCGAAGCGAGCGACGTCGCGACCGCGTCCGAGGACGCCGCGATCAAGGAGCTGGAAGCGCTCGTCGCGGGGGTGACGCGCGCGGCGGCGGCGGCGGAGACGTTCGTCGCGCGCGCCGCGGAGACGGAAGCGGCGGCGCTCGCCGCGGAGGCGGAGGCGGCGGCGGCGTTGAAAGCGACGGCGCTGACCGCCGCGGAGGCTGAAGCCTCCGCGCTGGAGGGCGAGAAGAAGATCCTCGAAGCGAAAGCCGAGATCGCGGCGAAAGCGCGCGAGGCGTCCGCCGCGGAAGCGCGGCGAAGGGTCGAGCGCGCGCGCGCGGCGGCGGCGGACGAGGCGAAAGCCGCGGCGGATTTCGAATCTCGCATGCGGTGCGTTCTACACACTGGTCCCCATACGACCGCGTTCGCGTGGTGAACGCCGATCCTTAAGGACTTTGCCCGGCGCATCTCTCCGCCCACCCATCGCTTTCAACCCCCGAACTCGACGCCTTTCAACGCCACCTGACGCCTTTCAACTCCACCCCGACGTTCGCTCGTATGGAACGACCCTGAGACGCGAACGCGCCGAGCTCGAACGCCTCCGCGCGGTCGAGGACGCCGCGGCGACCAAGGCGGCGACGGAGCGCGAGAACGCGCGCCGCGCGCTCGAGCGCGAGCTCGAGCGCCGGCGAGAGGTGGACGCCGCGCGAGCGCTCGTGGAAGCGCACGAGGCGGAGACGACCCGGCGCGCGGAACTCGCCGCGCTCGCCGACGCGCGCGAGAAGGACTTGCACGCCGTCGAGGACGCCGCCGCCGCCGCGCTCGCTGCCGTGCAGCTCGCGGAGGCCAAGTCGATCGCGGAAGCGCGCGTGAGAGCCGCGGAGGACGCGTCCGCGGCGGCGTCGAGAGCGCGCGAGGAGACCGCGGCGGCGGCGGCCGAGGCGGCGGCGAGCGCGGCGGCGGCGGCGGCGGCGGCGCGCGCCGCGGAAGCCGAGCGCGAGGCTCGCGAGGCGGACGTCGCGGAGGAGGAGCGAGAGCAGCTCGCGGCCGTGGAGATTATTCGACTGAAGCGCGTCGCGGAAGAGCGCGTGGCGAGGGCGACCGCGGACGCGCGCGAGGCGATCCGGGTCGAGCGCGAGACGCGAGAGGCGGTGGAGCGCGCGACCGCGGACGCGGCGAATGCGGCGGCGCGCGAGCGAAGGCTTCGCGACGCGTCCGAAGCCGCGGCGGCGGCGGCGAACGAGCTCGACGTCGAGCGCCCGCGAGCGCGGATGAACGAGGCGAACGCGCAGGCGGAGATGGCGCGAGCGGAGGCGGACGCCGCCGCCGCGGCGGCGGCGACGGCGGCGGCGGCGCTTTGCCCGAGTCCGCCGCCGCAACCCCCCGCGCCCGCCGCTTCGGCGTCGGCGTCGCCGGCGCCGGCGCCGGCGATCGCGTCGCCGCCGATGCGAACGTCGTCGTCCGCTTCCATCGGCGGCGTCGGGACCTCGCCGCCGCGCACGCCGACGCCGGAGACGATCTTCGCGAAGGCTGCGGCGGACGACGCGGCGAACGCGGCCGCGGACCGCGCGGAGGTGGCGACGCGGGAGGCGACGCGCGCGACGCGCGAGTACGAGCGCACGTCCGAGGACCCGCGTTTCGCGGAGGAATTCGAGCGCGCGAAGAAACGGCACGACGACGCGGTCGCGGCGATCGCGAAAGAAACCGCCGATCTGAAGGCGTTATACGAATCCAAAGCGGCCGCGGACGTCGCCGCCGCCGAAGCGGAAGCGCGCGCCGCGGACGCGCGCGCGAGGCAATCCGCCGCGGAGACGGAAGCGGAACGACTCGCGCGCGTCGAGGAGGAGACGAACGACGCGCGGCGGCGGCGGACGATTGCGAAAGTCAAAGCGATGCACGCCGCGGACGTCTCCGAGGCGGAATCCGAAGCGTCGCGCGCGGCGGAGACGGAACGACGCGAGCGCGCGGCGTACGCGGAGGCTGCGCGCGCCGCGGACGCGGCGAACGCGTGGGTGAACGCCTCGAAAGCCGCGGCGAGGGACGCGAAGGAACAGGAGAAGCTCGCCGCCGCCGCCGCCGCCGCCGCCGCCGCCGCCGTCGAGACGAAGGCTGAGTGCGAACGCAAAGCCGCGGACGCGCAAAAAGAAGCGGACGCGCGCGCCGCGGCCGCGGTCGCGAACGCGACGCGCGAGGCGGAGAACGCGGTGCGCCTCGCGCGCGCGGCCGCCGCCGCGGCGATCGACGCCGCCGTCGCCGACGCGAACGAAGCCGTGCGCGTCGCGAGAGCGACGTTGGAGACGCGCGAGAAGGAATCCGCGGCCGCGCTCGCGCGCGCGAAGGACGACGACGCCCTCCTCGACGCGAAGCGCAGGGCGGAGATCACGCGCGAGCGCGACGACGCGCGCGAGGCGTTGCGCGCGGCGGAGAGCGACGCGAGGGCGACCGTCGCCGAGGCGCGACGCGACGCGGAAAAGAAGTCGTCGGACGCGAAGCGTCGCGCCGAGACGGATAAGCGCGCCACGATCGCCGCCGCGAAGGCGGCCGCGAGAGCGCAGATCGACGCCTCTCGCGAGGCTTTAAACGACGCGCGAAGGGAGTCGACGACGGCGGCGCGCGCGAAGACGCGCGCGATGCGCCGCGCGGCGGACGCGGAGAGGGAGACGGAGGAGGTGCGGAAAAACGCGCGCGACGCCGAGGCGCGCGCGGATGCGGCGGAGCGCGCGGCGGCGGCGGCGAAGGACGCCGCGCTCGCCGCGGAGCGCGACGCGGAGCGCGCCGCGCTCGAGGCGTCCGAGGCGCAGGCGGCGGCGAGTCGCGAGGTCGCGAAGCACCAGCGCGCGCTGACGCCCGAACGCGGCGGCGGCGGCGGCGGCGGGATCGCCCCCGACCGACGACGGGACGAGCGCGCGAGCGCGGAGGTGGACGAGTGGCGCGAACGCGCGAGGCTCGCGCGCGCGGCGGCGTCGAGGGAGCGCGAGCGCGCGAAGGACGCCGCGTCGCGGGAGACCGCCGCGCGCGCGGAGGCGGCGGACCTCGGCGCGAAGGACCGCGCGAAGGTGTTGGCGATGGAAGAGAAGGTGAAGCGTCTGAAGCGCGACGCGGCGGCGAAGGAGAAGGAGGTGCAAAAGAGAATCGACGCCGGCGCGGCGGCGGCGGCGGCTTTCGCGGCGGACGAGGCTGCCTGTACCGCCGCGGCCGAGGCGGAAGCGCGCGCGCGCGAGGCCCACGCGTTAGAAGCGAGCGAAGCGGAGAAGGACGCCGCGGAGAGAGCCGCGGAGGAAGCGGCGTCGCGCGCGGCGGTCGCCGCGGCGGCGGCGGCGTCCTCAGCGGCGACGGAGGAGGCGCGATCCGCCGCGAAAGCCGCCGCGGAAGACGCCGCGTCGTGGCGCCGCGAGGCGGACTTCCTCGCGAAGGAGTGGTTCGACGCGAAGACCGCCGCGAAAGCCTCGGACGCGCGCCACGAGCGCCGCGCGAACGAACTCGCGCTCGCGGCGGCGCACGCGGAGCGAGAGCGCGCGCGACTCGAGAGGGAAAACGCCGCGAACCGCGCGGAGATTGAACGCGTCGTCGCGGACGCCGCCGCCGCGTGGGAGATGGCCGCGGACGCCGCGCGCGCCGCGGAGGACGCGGAGAATGCGCGCGAGATGGCGATCGCCGAGGAGGCGACGCGCGCCGCGGAGGCGAATTCGCGCGCGGAGGAGGCGCTACGCGCGGCGGAGGCGCACGACCGGGAGGCGACGCGGCTCGACGCCGTCCGCGAGGAGGAACGCGCGATGATCGAGACGGCGGCGGCCAAGGCTCGCGAGGCGATCGACGCGATCGACGGCGCGGTCGCGGTCGCGGTGGCGAACGCGCGGAGGCTTCGAGACGCCGCGGAGGCGGCGGAGGCGGCGCGGACGCGCGCGGCGAGGGACGCGGCGACCGCGGACGTGGAGCGACGGCGCGTCGCGAACGGCGCGGAGATTAAAATTCGCGAGCTCGAGCGCCGCGCGCGCGAGAGCGACGAGGAGGCGTCGACGCACGCCGTAAAGCTGAGGGACGCGGAAGCTCGCGCGTCCGCCGCGGAGGCGGCGTTGATCAAGGCGGAGATCGCCGCCGCGGAGGCGGCGAAGAAGGCTGAGCGGGACGTCGCGAACGCGGCGCTCGCGTCCGCGTCCGCGTCCGCGGCGGCGGCGGCGCCGGCGGCGCCGGCGGCGTTGACGGCGGACATCGGCGTGGTGACGATGACGACGGGGACGCGCGGGCCGTCGCTGCCGTCTCGCGCGCCGCGCGACGCCGCGCGCAGATGTCTCGCGGCGAAGCGCGCGGCGCGCGCGGCGGCGGCGACGGTCGCGCTGGCGCCGGTCGAGGAGGCCGCGGCGCCGCCGCCGCCGTCTCGGTCGCGGGCGGCGGACGACGTCGCGCGAGAGGAGGCGCGCGCCGCGGCGACGAGGCGACGGATCGAGACGCGCGAGACGTACGCCGCGCGCGAGCGGACGCGAGCGACGACGAGGCCGAAACCGCCGGTGCCGCCGCCGCCGTCGTCGTCGTCGGGCGCGATGAACGCTATCGTGACGGTCGCGAGAGCGCCGTTTAATCCGTTCGCGAGCGCGGAGCTCGACCCCCGGCGATCCGCGGAGATCGAACGAAGAGTCGAGGCGCGCCGCGCCGTCGGCGGGAAGCGAAAAGCCTCCGCCGCCGGCGACGGTTCGTCTTCCACCGTGACGTCATCGCTCGCGCGCGAGTCGGCGTTCGCCGCCGCGGAAGATGCCGCGCGTCTCGCGGAAGCGGAAGCCGCGGAGGCGGCGCACCGACGCGCGGCGAGACGCGCGGGCGCGCGCGTTCGCGCGTCGCGAGCGCGCGATCTCTCGACGCGTCCCGAGTCCGAGCCCCCGAATTCGCCTTCGCCTTCGACGTCCTCGCCGTCGAAGCTCCAGGAGTTGAAAGTCGCCGCCGCGATCGCCGCCGCGGCCGAGCGCGTCGCGACGCGGCGGTCGTTCGCGGCGGAACATTCGGACGCGGAGAAGACGAGAGCGTCGGTGCCGACGTTCTTACGCGTCGCCGCGCGCGACGACGCGGCGCGGAAATCACGCGACGAAATCGCGTCGATAAAGTCCTCGGGCGGCGACGCGAACGCGAACGCGAACGCGACGCGACGGTCGTTCCCTCCGGCGCCAGCCTGGCGGCCGTCCTCGAGCGCGACAGTCGCGTCCGCGAGGGCGTCCCTGGACGCCGCGGATGGCGCGCCGGCGAGGAGGAAGCCGGAGATGTGGTCGTCGCTCGACCTCTCGAGACCGAAACGGCGGAAGGTCGGTCGGAGCGTGACGTTCGCGCGCGGGGCGTTCACGACGAGGATCTCCGCGGACTTCCCGCGCGGGTTCGACGACGACAGCGACGAGGACGACGCGGTCGCGGACGCGATCGACGACGCGGAGGCGGCGGAGTGGAACGAAGAACGACGCGCCGAGGGCGTTCTTCTCGCGCTTCGCGCCAACGTCGCGCGACGAAAAATGAAAACCGCGCTGCACGCCGCGGCGGCGCGACACGCGCGCCGCCGCGCGCTGACGCGCGATCTCCGGTTCTGGCACGCCACGGCGAAGAGAAACGCACTCTTACGGCGCGTTTTCACCATCTGCGAGAAAGCCTGGCGCGCGCACGTGCGCGTCCACGGCGTGCACCTGAGCCCCGAGGACGTCCGAACGATTTCCGTCGCGCGAGAAGGCCTCGCCGTCTGGCGCGCCGCCGCGGCGAGACGACGCCGCGCGCACGCCAAAAAAGTCGCGCTCGTCCGCGCGGAGACGTACCGACGCCTGAGCGTCTCGCGCCGGCATCTGCTCGCGTGGCGCGCGGCGCTTCGCGCGGCGAGAGCGCGAGAGCGCGCGTACGCGACGTTCGCCGACGCGTTCGCTTCGTGGCGCGTCGAGGCGAAAACCGCCGCCGCCGTGCGAGAGGAGGCGGCTCGCGCGCGTTTCTCGCGGCTGTGGCTCGACTGGCGCGCGCGCGCGGCGACGACCGCCGCGGTCGCTCGCATGCGCCGCCGCGCGTTGACGCGCGCGGCCGCGCCCGCGCTGCACGGCTGGCGGATCGTCGTCCTCGCGCGCGCGCGTCGACGGCTGACGCGCGAGATGAACGTTCTGATCGCCGGCCGCCGCCGCATGTGGGCCGCTTGGCGGGCCTGGTGTCTGGGTCCCGGGTGCGCGGCGCTGACGCGCGGCGCGCCGACGCCGCTGCCGCCGGAGCACGCGGACGCGCGGCGGAAGCGGTTCAAGACGACGCGCGACGCGCTGCGGGATATCGTCTTGCGGCCGACGCGCGAGCGAAATTTCTCGCGACGCGTCGCGGCGGCGTGGAGACGCGCGGCGCGAGACGCGGCGCGGTGCGTTCTATACACTGGTCCCCATACGACCGCGTTCGCGTGGTGAACGCCGATCCTTAAGGACTTTGCCCGGCGCATCTCTCCGCCCACCCCTCGCTTTCAATCCACGCCCTCGGCGCCTTTCAACTCCACCTGACGCCTATGAACTCCACCCCGACGTTCGCTCGTATAGGACGCGCGCGGCTTTCGCGGAAGCCGCGGAGACGATGACGCCAGAGGACATCACGTCGCTGCGCGGGCGGCCGCTGTCCGCGTGGCGCGCGCGCGCGGCGGAGATCGCCGACGCGCGAGACGCCGCGCGCGCGGACGAGCGATGGGTCGGCGGTCTGCGAGGAGATTTGCATCGTTCGCGAGACGACGACGACGACGTCTTCGCGGACGACGCCGTCTGGGCGCCGCCGCCGTCGCCGCCGCGCCGCGCGCGACGCGCGAACCCGCCGCTGCCGCACGTCGTCCGCGTGCCGCGGTCTTCCCCCCCTCGCGATCGCCGCGCGACGGCGACGGCGACGGCGACGACGGGCGGCGGCGCGGGCGCGGGCGCGGGCGCGGGCGCGACGGTCGACGTCCGGGGACGGTTCGAATTCCGAGACGTCCGCGTCGCGGCGGGCGCGTGCGCGGCGACGCACGACGGGAACATCGCGGCGGGGATCACGGCGTTTGAATCCGCGCGCGGCGTGCGGTTCTTTCCGCCCACGGCCGCGGCGAGCGAGGGGGTTACTCCGCGCGAAGAGAGAGGGAGAGAGGAGGAGGAGGAGGAAGAAGAAGTGGATGAAGAGGGAGAGGAAGAACGCGAGGAAGGAGGCGAGATGGACGAGGAGACCGGGTTGGATCCCAGAGACGTCGCGACGTTGTTCGCGATGCGCGAGTCCTGGGGCGGGTAGTCGGGCGGGACGGGAGGGATATTTAACTGACTAGTAGTGAGCGCTAGCCGTAGCGTCGATAGCTCTGCTGACGCGTAAAGAGCGATTCGATGATGAGGACCGTGCGACGTCGCGCGCGCCCCGATCCGCCGGGAAAGCGTCGACGACGTTTGGCGCGAAGTCAAATTTAGCGAGCGGCTCGCGCTCCGACCGACGCGTTCGACAATTTCGCGTTGACGCCAGGCTGGTTCGGATACCCCCGCCAATCGCGGGGCGCGCGGGCGCCGGACCGATCCCACCCCCCCGCCGCCGCGATGGTGCTCGGGATCAAGTGGATGCAGGGCAAGCATCACGGGCACGCGCTCCTGGACGAGGACGGCGACCTGGACACGGAATACATCGACGACGAGGACGCCAAGACGGAGAAGCAGCTCGCGCGCGAGCGCGAGCGCGCGGACCGTCAAAATAACGGGGCTGACGAATTCGCGTCCGGGCCGCCGTCGTTCGCGTCCGACGCGTCGCACGACGCGATGGGTTCCCCCGGGCCCAAGTCCCCGAGCGATCACGCCGCGCGGAAGTGGCTCCGGAAGACGCAGTCGCGCCGCGGCGCGTCCAAATCCTTCTCCCAGCCCGCGATCTCGTACGCGGAACAGATGCGACTCGAAGCGCTCCAAGAGTACCAATCGCGACTCGCGGAGCCGATGAAGCTGGACAACGAGACGCTCATATCCTTCGCGTCCAGAGTCGTCATCGAGCTCGAGATGCGGCCGTACAAGACGATCAAGACGCTGCACAGCAAGACGTTCACGGGCGCCGATTTCATCGAGTGGAGCATGACGCAGCCGGAGGTTCGAGATCAGTGCGACGCGCTCTTCATCGGCAACGAGCTCATGTCCAGAGGCATCTTCTTGCCCGTGTCCTACGGCGCCACGGAGGCGCTGTTCTACTCCCCGACGTTCAAGTCGAGCAGCGGCGTGATGCGCCTCGTGTGCAAGAAGAAGGCGCAGATCGTCGCCGCCGTGCTCGGCGCCGACCTGGACACGATCGGCGATCTCAGCTCGAAGAGGGATTCCAACGCGTCGTCCCCGGGCGCGGGGAACTCCGCGTCGTCGTCGCCGCGGCACGGCGAGCTCAGCCGCGACGGCTCGGGGAAGATCGACGTCGGCGACGTCAGGCGGACCGCGAGCGACCCGACCAGCGGGTCTTCGTCTTCGTCGCCGGCGGCGGCGGGCGGCGCCGGCGGCGAATCGAAATTTAAACTGAGACGATGCCCCACCGTGGACGAGCGACGCGGGAACGTCTCGAGCCTCAAGGCGGTGCCCGAGGGACGGATACTGAGGAAGTTCACGAACGCCGTCGGCGGCGGGATCAACCGCCGCGTGTTATCCACGAGGGCCAAGTTCGCCGCGATCGCGCGACCGATTCACGGGTACCTTCACACGCGTCTCGGACCGCACGTGCTGTTCGCGGCGCTGCTTCCGTTTCTTCTCCTCTGCGTCTTCCACGCGACGACGCTCGCCGCGGTCGCGGTGTTCTGGGGCGCGTCGCACGTCGCGGACGTGGACTGGAAGCAACGGAGGGACTTGGAGCGCCGCGTCCGCGCGGAGGAGCTCAAGAAGTTTCAAGGGAAGCGCGGCAACGTGAAGGTGTATCCGGACGGCAGCGAGAGCGCGGACTGGTGGAGTTGCGTCCTGCAGTCCTTCTGGGACGGCTGGCTCGAGATGTGGCTGAACCGGCTGCTCACGAACATCCTCACGGACGTCCTCGAGCGCGTGAAGCCGTCGTACTTGGAGAGTTTGAAGATCACGGAGTTTAAGCTCGGGTCGAACGCGCCCACGGTGAAGACGTCGCGGCTGTTCCCCGGGCCGGACGGGGAGACCATCTTGGAGTGGGACATCGTGTGGCAGACCGAGGAGATGAGGCGCGTTCTATCTCACACCGGTCCCCATACGACCGCGTCGGCGTGGTGAACGCCGTTTCTTAAGGACTTTCTCTCCCGGCGCATCTCTCCGCCCAGGGTCCCTCGCTCACAATCCCGACACACACGCCTCGCCGCCTTTCAACTCCGCTTCTGACGCCTTTGAACTCCACCCCGATGTCATCGCTCGCGCGCACGGAACGACCCTCATCAGCGTCATCCTGAGCGCCAAGGTGGGCGGCAGCCGGTTCTCCGTGCCCGTGCCTCTGAGGGTCTTCGTCAGCAACTTGAGAGTCGCGGGGAAACTGCGGTTGGGGCTGTTTTGGACGAAGCGCAAGGGCGGGCCGTACTTGAAAGCGCTGAGGGTGTCGTTCGTGGACATGCCCGAGCACTCGGTGTCGATCAAGCCGATGACGTCGTCGATGATCGACATCCGCGACCTCCCGGGCTTGGACCGCACGGTGGAAAACGCGCTGAACAAGATGTTCACGAACGTCCTCGTGGAACCGAACATCGTGCTGTGGAACGTGGAGCGCTGGTGGTGGAACCGCGACCTGCCGAAGATTTGCATCGTGTGCCGCGGCCCGTGCGTCGCGTGTAAGATGGGGATATCGACCGTCGCGCAGGAACTCGCGGTGCCGGGTTTGGAGCAAGACGTCATCGACGAAGCCGCGGCGATGCGACAGGGAAAGAGCAAGGAGGACAAGAGCCGGCTGATGTCCGGGACGAAGAACCCAACGCTCACGCTCGCCATCTCCATCCACCTCGCGGAGATCGAGACGCTGAAGGGCACGAAGCGGAAGGACTACTACGTGAAGCTGAAACGCGGCCCGAAGAAGTTCACGACGGACGGCGCCAAGGCGGCGCCGGTGGAGACGCTCGTGACGTTGAGGCGCGTATTGGTTCCTCGCACTGGTCCCCATACGACCGCGTTCGCGTGGTGCACGCCGATCCTTAAGGACTTTTCCTCCCGCGTTTCTCTCCGCCTAGGGTCCCTCGGTTTCGATCCCGACACACCTCGACGCCTTTCAACTCCACCTGACGCCTTTCAACTCCGCTTCTGACGCCTTTCAACTCCACCCCGACGTTCGCTCGTACGTGTGGTACGACCCTAAGACCCGGAGAGGAGGACCCTTCCTCGGCTCTCGAGGACGAACCCCCCGCGGCGCTGCAGAAGAGCCTCTCGAGACGCGGCGGGAAGTTTGGTCGGTCCGGGTCGTTCGGTCGGTCGCGACATTCGCGCAACCACAGCGACGGCGGGTCTTCGCAGGACGACAGAAGCGACGACGGCAGCGACGACGGCGGCGGCGGCGGCGGCGGCTTCCATCGCGGCGGGCGCGAGCCGCAACCCAAGGTGGTCACGAAGTGGGTCTGCCGCCCCGTGTGGGAGGAGTTCGTGCGCCTCGACGCGTACGACAAGACCGTGGACACGGTGGTGAACTTTAAAGTCTGGAGCGACGACGGCGGCGTCGTGGGCGGGAAGACGACGATCGGCGCGGCGGCGATTCGCGACATTCTCGATTACGCCGACGGCTTTCTGCACACGCTGCAGCTGCCCATCATACACGCGAAGAAAGGGACCGTCGTCGGGGTGTTACACATGCGCGTGCGCGCGACCGCGACGAGCGAGGTGGTCCCGAAGATGGTTCGAAAGAAAGGCGGCGACGACGCGGCGTCGCAGCCGGGGGTGGGGACGCAGTTCGCGTTGTCCGCGGGCGCGGGCGGCGTCGCCGCGGGCGCCGCGGGATCCAAGGGCGGCAAGGTCTCCTCCATGAGCAGCACGATGCGTCGGAACATGACGTCCGCGATGAGCGCGATGCCCATCCCCACGAAGTACGTCAAGAGCGCGGCCGCGGGCGTGCGAAGCGCCGCGTTCACCGCGATCAACAAGCCCGCGCAGAAGACCAAGTGGGCGGCGCGGAGCGTCAAGAAGGGGTGCAAGAAGCTGTGGTACGGCAAGGAGAAGTACAAGGCGAAGAAAGAGGCGAAGCTCGCGAGGGAGCTCGAGGCTGCCGAGCGCGCCGCCGGGTTCGTGGAGGCGTGGAAGAGCGTCAGGGAGCCGCACCTGTTGGGCGCGCGCGGGGTCGGGGGCATGGCGGCGATCAGCGAGGACGGGTCGACGGCGGCGGCGGCGACGCGTCGGGCCCGAGAGCCGCCGGCGCCGGCGCCGCCGCCGGTGGACCCGAGCACGCTCCGCGTGAACGGGCGGCTGAATCACAGCTCGGTGAGGGAGAAGTACGGCGCGGAGGCGACGACGCCGAAGACGCCGCCGCCGCCGGAGAAGAAGGGGAAGAAGGGGAAGAAGTGATCGATCGATCGTCGCGTCGGACGCCCGCCGTCGCGGCGGGTCTCCAACGATTCGATTCGATGTGTTTTGTAGCGCTAAATAATTATCGATCTGAGCATCGCAAGCGATCGATCGTCCCCCCGTCCTCCGCTAAGATCTCTCCAGTCCCGCTATGACGTCCCCTCCCCCGTTACCCGACGCGCCGCTCGCCGCTCACTGCGTCTTCCTCACGGCCGCGGGGATGTGCTCGAGCGCCTCCAGGGCGCTGATCGAGTTCCCTCTGACGACGACCATCCCGAGCGGCTCCTTGTCCGAGGTGCTGTCGTCCACGCACTCGTCCAGGACGAGGTTCAAGAACTGGTCGAACCCGCGGAGGACGCCGACGACGCCGCGGTTGCCGTTGAGCTTCAGCCGAAGCTTCTTGTCCATGTACCTGAGGGATCGAGGGAGGGATCAGCGGGCGCGTCGGTGGGCGGGCGGCGAGCGAGTTTTGAACCCTAAACGACATGAAATCGAACGACGCGACGACGCGACGAACGATCGCGGGCGAGATCGGAGGCGCGAACGCGCGCGCGCGCGGGGGGGGGGGGGCGCCCCCAGCGGGGACCCACTGCTTGAGTTCGGGGACGGCGACCCCCATGTTCGCGTTCGACTGTGCGACTGCGCTTCACGCGAGGGGCCCGACGAAGTGGGCCCCCTAGTAGGGGCGGATTTCGGATCTTGCAGGGGGCGCTATTGGCGCGGCGCGCGCGGCGTTTCCCGTCCGTCAGGGGCCGCCGTCTCTTCGTCTCCCATTGTCGCCTCAACGATGCGAACGACGACCCCCCGCGGAGAGACGGGGCACTCCAATCGACGCGCGCGCGCCATCATCACCCATGCCGACGTCCCTCATCGCGCACGACGCGACCACCCGGGGAGGAGGCAAGCGCCCGCGCGACGCGTACGACTGCCCCGCGGACCCGAGACTGGGGCGGATCCTCCGCGTGC